GACTAAGATAGAGTACATGAAATGCAAGTTTAATGAGAATAGGAATAGAGACGAGTAAGTAGTTAAGACTGACTACTAATAAATACCAAAAAGAGCATACTCGCAATATCTTAAGTTGATAATTCAATAAAGTTGAGATATTGAGGAAGATGTCGCACATAAATTTAAAACTGGTTGGGCAAAGTGGAGATGTGCAACTAGATTTTTATATGATTGTTCCATACCAATGAAGCTGAATGTCAAATTTTATAAGGCAGTTGTGAGACCAGCTATGCTTTTATGAGGCGGAATGTTGGACTGTCAAGAAATAACATATCTGTAGAATGAGTGTAGCTGATATGAAGATGTTGAGATTGATGAGTGGCAAATTAAGAAATGATAGAATTTGAGATGAATACATTCAGGAGAATTTAAGTGTGGCATCAATTGGTAATAAGATAAGAGAAAATAAACTTAGGTGGATTGGTTATGTGTGACGCTTGACTTAAATACAACATTTGTTAGGAGGTACGAGTTAGTTCAAGTGGAAGGCTCAATAAGGGCAAATGATAGAGCCAAAACGACATGATTGGAAGTAGTTAGAAAATACAAATATTTATGACCTTATTGATGGCATAACTCTTAATAAAACTGATCAGGATTTGTGTAATCGATCCCAATGAGTTAAAAAAAGCTCTGACGATGATGAATATATCAATACATTTCGAGATCAAGATAATAAATTTTTAAGCACTTGTTACATGCATTTGTTTTATAATAGGAAATTTTTTTTATAAAGTTGCAACTTTAAAATAGAATTAAAGTACATTTAAAAAATCCATCATAAAAGGTTGGTTTGATGTTGGAAACCATATAATTAATCATTTCAACATCGATATGTATGAATATAAAAAAAAGAAAAATATTTTGAGTCTTATAAATAGTCTATCTTGCCACAAATTATCTCGACCGTCTATTTTCAAGATTTTTATGTATTTATAAATCTACTTGATTTTAACTATTTTTGAAGTTTAAAATTTTATAATTAGATATCAACATAGATTATCAGTCTTATCAATTTTTTACACCAAAATTACATTTATAATAACATTTGATTGATTAAGGTTGAACCTTATGCAAACCACACCCATTGTAAACCCAAGCGTATACTGTTCTTGTTCTACACTCGTAGGTGCCATACTTTCTCTCTCAATTCACGCATTAAACCGAGTTTCCTTGACGTACTTTTTACTCTCTCGCTCTCAGAAGGGAGGATTTGGTTTGTTCAAACTTTGGAGAGTATTTTCAATGGCATTTGCTATTACGACACAATGTACGATGTTTAGTGATACCAAAAGGAATTTTCAATGGGATTTGCTATTAGATGCAAAAGCTTTCTGTTCAGCATTCCTATTTATTGAAGTTTTATGACGTGACTATGATTGATGAAGTATTGTTATTGATGTTAGAAATTTTATTGTTATTGAAGTATTGTTATTGATGTTAGAAATTGTTTTCACTGCAGAATATACTTTCCTTTGCGAATTGAACTAATCGAGTACATTCATCGAAGAAATGGTTATGCATTTGTGATTTATTTGTTGAGTATTGAGATTTTAATCTCTAAATAACAAAATACCTTGCTTCATCAGATAAATGGTTATGCATTTGTGATTTCTCTGTTGATTATTGGATTTTAATCTCTAAATACCAAATGCATTGCTCTTGTGTTTTAGACTTCAGGTATAACCCAAATGATCTCATGAATTATGGTCCTGCCTTTAGTTATTTGCTTCTGCATTTACTTAGATTGTATTAGTTCATCACTTATAAAATTACCAGTGCTATATCATTGAAGATCGATGAACTATTGTGTTCTTCGACCAATTTTTTAAATTAATGAATCGATTGTCTCATGTTGGAAAATGATGATAGCCGAAGATTGTTCATGATACACAGTTGCCATGGGAAAGTTGGGAGATATACCTGAATGAAGCATGTGAGCAAGAATTTTTTCACACTTACAAACACATTGTGAACAATGATATTGGCATTGGTGCCTATGTTGGCAATCAACGATGTCATATTAAGGTGGAAATTAAGTAAAAAATTAACTATTAAATGATAAGATTGCTTTTTAATGCTATGATGGAATTGCCCAATTGAGTCCGGTTAATATGGGAATGATAACATTGGTCTCAAGAATCTACTGATAAAGACAATTGAAGATAATCACGTAGAGCTATTGAAGTTAGAGGTTAAGTTTTTATCTTGAAAATCACCTGCTAAAAAACAATGGATTATCTTCAACTGGTAAAAACAGTTGAAGATAATCATATGATCTACTGAAGTGCAACTCGCAGTTCTTTGCTTGATAATCATCTGGTGCAAAACAGTTGAAGATAATCATTTATCATGCGAATATTGACGTTCAACTCTGAATTCTTAAATGGGAAACAAACAGCTTGGATTCACATATTTCCTTCATTATATTCCCAGTTTTAATTTGGATTAATGTTTGTAACCATCTTATTATCATCATCTTCAATGTGTGCTCTGTGCTTACTATAGTGCTCCCCGAGCAGTATTGGCTTTGGTTTTGAAATCAATATATATATATATATATATATATATGTTTTTTTGGGGTAATTCAATTGGGGAATACAAGCCCCTACCCATTTTTGAAATGGTTAGTGGTTTTTGAAGTTGTCAGGAATGGAAGCCACAACGTGCAACTGAGGTATTAGGAGTGCTTTTGCAATATATGAGGCCTACATTTTTCCTTTTTTGTTGTTTTTTGTTTCTTTTTCAATTGTGTAATAACTTTTTTTTTCTAAGTTTTATATTGACTTCATTTGTGCATATAATAGGTTTCTACCATGTCCTTTTGTTTTATTATCCTTTATTTGGTCAGCTGCTTCAGTAGATTGGTTGTTTTGTGGTCATGTAAGTCTGCTCAGAATTACAGCAAACAGACAATAGTAATAATATTTGCCCTGGAAATTTCACTTAGATAAGCAACGGCATATTTATTCATGAGAAAACATTTAGTATAATCAGGCAGAATATGTGATTCAGTGGATATGCAAGTGTGAAATTGTACTAGGAGTGGTATTATTCCCTACATAAAACTCATCTTTGGACGCCACAACCATATGAACAAGTTCAAGAATCACATTTGTCTCTCTAAGAAGCTGACAAAAAGGAAACCATCAATTCTCCATGGCTTCAGTGCCTCATGTCTCATCCACTTACTCCTTCAGATGAAACCACTTCGATCATGAGAATGGTCATAAATTAATTTGGAAAGCCTCCATCCAATATGATGGACTTTGACCTTGGCACTGTCGCAATGCCCTAATTATGCTCTCAACAGTAAGCTTACATTGTTTCTAGTGACAAATACATGCTTGAGGGAACCTTGTTTTGCGAGGGAACTCAAGTCAAAATTTAGTGCAATTGGCCCTGCAGTTGCACTTAACTTAGGTTTCTATTTCATGGGATATATCACAGGGTCTGGCCCCCAAGTCCCAGACCAAATCTGTACCTGCTGCCCATAAAGTTATATACTCGTCTGGGAAACAATTGGATATTCCTTTGGGTCCCACACTTTTTTTTTTTTGTGGTCACTGACTTTTGGGAACCACTGGCTACTTATGTATTTCTTCTGTAATGGGCACTTTTATAAGCCCCACTCATTTTTTGTATTGGCCCTTTTTGGTCTAGCTCATTTTTTTGACAAGAAGCCCGGCCGGTGGGCGATCTCGCAGATACGATGTATTCCCCTTCCCACTCTTAATACACCAATTAACTATCCTGAAAAAAAAAAGTACATAAGTGAAGTTCTCTTTTTGTTGTCAAAACTCAAAAGTTTTTATACATTGAAAAATTCTTATATTCCTCTGTTGCCTGAACACTCTAGTTTTAATGGCAGTGTTTGTAAAACTATGTCGGTGACTGTTCAGATATATTGATGGATTTTTTTGGCGATGGTGGTTGCCATGATGGGTCACAGTTTTCAACCTTATGTCGAACACATTTCACGTTGTTACATTATCAAGAAAAAAAAACACATTTCACATTGTCCAAAATCGAAGATGTGCTTAATATGATAATATGGTTTATTATTCGCTAAGAAATTTGAGCTGAATTAGTGGGAAGGGCGGGCTATGAATTTGTAGTCTCTTGCCATATATGAGGGAGTAAGGACTACAAAAGTGGTAATAATAAACAGAAGTGTTGAAGTGTGGTATCTTTGCAAAAGTCGTCTTATGAATTATGATCCTGCCTTTAAGTTATTTGGGTTTTCATTCACCTAGATTTTATCACTTCATCACTTCTAAAATCAGTGTTTGGTAATTCATAGGACAGTATTGAAGTGTGGTATCTTTGCAAGATGCAGCATGACTCAATGGCTGGATATTGGAGACACTTAATCACTTCTAACATTGTGTTTGGTAATTCATAGGACAGTGTTGAAGTGTGGTATCTTTGCTAGAAGCAACATGAATCAATGGCTGGATATTGGAGAATCATGATATACAGGGAATGTCACAATTTACAAAATTAGGACTTAGGAGATATACCTGAAATGAAGCATGCAAGCAAAATTTGAAGTAGACACAAACACCTACCATAATCAATTATATTCACATTGGTACCTATGATGGTGAACTATATAACATTGATGCTAGGCAGGAATAAATTTCTCAGTCATAAGCATGCTTTTTAATACTATCCGGGTTTGCCTCTCTCTCTCTCTCTCTCTCTCTCTCTCTCTCTCTCTCTCTTACTCTACTCTCTTACTACGTTACTTACGTTACTTACGTTACGTTACGTTACGTTACGTTACGTTAGTTACGTTACGTTACGTTACGTTACGTTA